CTTGGCCTTTCGAAACTGTAACAGCTACAACCTTGACCTCTCAGGACTGTGGTAGCTACGACCTTGACCTTTCAGAATTGCGACAGCTGCGGCCTCTACACAACTATGACCCCTACTCGACAGACCTACAGTTCAAGACCTGACAGCTACATCGACCTATGACAGACAACAACTGACTCCTAAAATGCAGGTCACGGGTTTAAACACACAGGAGTACCTTACACGGGTGAGGTGAGGTCTAGGGATCGAGCCCTGGGATCTGCATCTGCTACTGCAAAGGTGAAAACCGTTTCATTCTACACCGCCCGCTGTGTACAGCGTCAGACTTCCTTGCAGTTGCCCTTCAGCTTGATGCTAATCTTCCCTGCCTCCGTCGTGACTTTCTTTGCTATACCTTTCGGCTGAAATTCGGAGAGCTGCCCGCGCTCTTCCGAAGGTGCAGGACTGAGTCTATGGAGCATCGCAGCATATGCAGGCGGCGGCTCGGAGAGTACATAAACCAGAGACAGGGCCTTACGTGCCGTTTTCCACGAAACGAAGACCAGCACCCACCAACAGGTGCTGCAGGGCAACAACAGGGAGGAGCAAAACGCCCCACTCTGGGAGGCAGACCTGCAGACGCGCATAGGCAGGTGTTCTGTTTCGCCGCCGCCTGCATTGCATCGGGTTTCAATTGTTGTCCATTTCGTGAGCAAGAGGATGAAAATTATACCAGGGAGGGTAGCTATACAATTGTGGTCCTGCAAATTGCAATCAGGGACCGCCAACTTGGACTATGCAATGCTCAGGCAGGTGGGTGGTTTCATGCTCCATCCGGCATCCCTGCCTACATGGTACATGGACGTGGCCATTATATGGTCATTGTACTTGCCTCTGACCACTGGGAGCGCTGGGACACCGTCACGATGTTCCATGCCATGACTGATATCACTCATTTCTTATGTAGCGATGCTATTTTCTTGCTGCAGCAAACTGGCCACCCACTCCTTCATCCCTGAAGATAATTTCTCTGCCCCTGTGCCACAACAGGACAATGTTCAGCATTCCGTGACTTTGTCATTTGCACAGCTACAAACGCTGTTACACTCGGCTGCAGCCGTCATCGACTCGGCCACAAACACTACAATGACATGGTTTGCGGCATCGATGTGTGCGGAGGAGTGTCCCTTTTTTCTGCATCCATGTGTTATGTGCCCTGCAACACGTGTGTGCAGAGGACTGTCCCTCCGTTCCTGACTGCAGGCGCTCTCCGAGGCTGGATTCTTTAAGTCCATTTTGCTGCCATTGTTGTTATACGGAATGCACCATTAAAGGTCTTTTGTGGTGCTCGTTCTTCGTTCATGTTGGCCTGCAATCGACATGGCATTTGTCGGGAGTGTTCGGTGGGCATGCTCAATGCCAGCTGTCGTTGGGCTCGTCGTACTGAGAATGCTCAGCGAGGTCTTCGATGTCGTCGTCCATCTCATCCTTACAACTTATGTCCTCGCTGTCGTAAAGGACAGACTGACTCCTGAGCTTTGTCGTATCTTTTCGTATGCGTTCATCTTCATTCCACACTTCTTAGCTTCGCTTCGTCTTTCTTCGCCTTGTCTTCTTTCCATCTGGTTATCTCCTCTTGCTTTACTCTCCCTCTTTTTCACAGCGCACAAGTGGGCTGTTATGGCACATGGCGATGCGGGCAGCTTGCGCTCAACTTCTTCAACGTGGCAAGCCTTGTACGTTTAAAGGGGGAGCCAAAAGAATCAATGATCAAAGAGGCAAGAGTAAGGAAAGAAAAGGTAGAACTCCGTAGGAAAAGGCAAAAGAAAGGTTCCAGTGTGCTTCTTCACGTTTGTCTTGTATGTTTCTATCATTTGGTTTGCAAAGCGCGCTGTTTTTGTTGATACGTATTCGGCGAAAAAAAAAAAAAAGAAGATATGAGACAATGTATACGAACTACTTGAGTTAACCTTCAATAATTCCAATAGTGGCAATGGAAAAAAAAAAAAGAAGGATTGTTGCATATTCTTCGGAAGCTCACCTGAATTTGATCACTAGTGGCGATTCTTGGGAAGCCCTTAGTTGGGCGGCCATTAGGTCATGTATTTCACCGAAACACGTGGCTCTGTATTTGGAGTGTTGGACATGGGGTTCATCGCAATCCCACAAGGGGAGAGAGACTGACAGACAGGCAGGCAGGCTAGCAGGCAGGCAGACAGGAAGATTCAAGCAGGCAGGCTGGGAGACAGGCAAGGTAGGCAGGCAGGGCAGAAAGACAGGTAGGCAGTTAGGGAAGACAGACAGGTAGGCAGGCAGGGAAGACAGACAGACATACAAGAAAAAAAACATTTTAGTCGGGTGGCCATTAGGTCACACATGGCTTTGTATCTCGAATGTTGGACATGGGGCTCATCATAATCCTGCAAGGGGTGAGTGACTAACAGAGGCAGGCAGGCAGGCAGGCAGACAAGCGGATTCAGGCAGGCAGGTTGGGCAAACAGACAGGTAGGCAGGCAGGACAGACAGACAGACAGACAGACAGACAGACATACAGACAGACAGACAGACAGACAGGCAGGAGAAAAAAGCTTCGTCGGGCGGCCATTAGGTTACGTATTCCACGGAGACACAGGGCCGTATCTCGAGTGTAGCCCATCGCAATCCCGCAAAGGGAGAGAAGCAGACAGGCAGGCAGGCAGGCAGATTCAGGCAAGCAGGCTGGACCGAAAGACGAGTAGGCAGGCAGGGCAGACAGACAGACAGGCAGAAGGGAAAAAAAACGATCCATAGCAATATTTGGTGTCGCTCGCTAAATTGAAAATTCTGTTGTTAATAAGATTTGTAAGTCGGTTGTTCCCCGTTTGAAACAGAATTAATAAAATACCTAAAATCACGAAAACCGCCCCAAGTAAAGTAAATACGAAAAACTGATATGCTGCTCGTATTTTTCTACGGCAGACAGACAGACACATGCAGACAGACAGAGAGACAGGTAGGCACGTAGGCAGGGCAGACAGACAGGCAGGCACCTGGGGAGGTCAGACAGACAGGCAGGCAGCCAGGGAGCTACCTGTCTTCGCCCGAATAGAACGCCCGGTCCTTATCGCTGTATCTAGACTTAAAGTTGCGCAAAATATGGTTATTATAATGACCGGGCGCTCTATTCGGGTGAAGACGGTAGGCAGACAGGCAAACAGACGGATGAACAGGTAGTTACAGACAGTTGTAGAGACAGATAAACAGACTGAAAAATCGGTGTTCGGATTCTGGAGCCGATTACGGGAAAGTCGACTCAATGGTTCTGAGTGTTTCTTGAAGGTGGCTGCGTTTCTCGGACAGGGTTGGTTTTATACTTGGTGATGCGTCGGGCTAGCATCTTGGGCCCTCATTTTTGGGCCTCTCCTTCACGATCAAGATTTCTTAGCTGAATGGTTCACGTTTCCAGTGAGCGTTATGTCGGTTGTGTGCAATTCGGAGGTCGTATGGAGATGAGTGAAGATAGTGTCGTGAATGTTTCAGTCATTGAGTTTTGTAGCGTTGTGGAGGTGGAGCACGGTTGTGCCTGTTTTTGAGGCCTGTTCTGGTTTATTAGTGGATGCGCGCTGAGGGACAAAGGAATCATTGACTCATAAACTCGTTGCATTTGATATTGTTGGTCCTTTAGGGATTGGAAGGTCTTTTTTCTTTTTTTTTTTACACTTCCGCAATGTATGCGTGTCATTCTTGCGCAGGGGCCATGCGAATCTTCATTTTCTGTCTATCGTTCCAATTTTAACAGATGTGGCAAAAGACAAGGAGGACCTTTTGTTCTGCATTCGATATCATGACTATTATCGTCCATCCTCTGGATCCTTCAACGTCCATGTTGGTATATATGGTGTCCTTCATGTCTTTACTTCATCTCTCCCCGCCCCTCCCTCCCCCCCCCGCTCCCCTTTGCTTCCCTCCTTTTCCATCTCCGTCATTACTATCTATACCTGCGAGATACCTTAATTCCAGTTGCGGGATGGTTGTAGTCGTCTTGAAACACGGTATTGGTGTGTGTGAGTGCTTCCGTGCTTTGGTGTCTATGGTGTCTTGGCTTAAAGCGCCAGTACATGGCCCCAGCCTTGTAGAAATTTGTTCGTCGGGCCTACCGGACCATAATGGCTCGCAGCGCCAGCCAAAGAAAAGAAAAAAAGTGTGTGGCTGGTTGTTCAGAAAACCTTGGCGTGGCGTGCACTGCAGTGGGTCTACCGGTGGGGTTTAGTGCCACGGCGAGGCCTGCCATGTGAAAAAGGCGCATAATTAGGATGAAAGGCAGAATCGGGGAGCACTTCCAGGCTTTGGTGTATGTGGTGTCTTGGCTCATACCGCCACTGCCTTTCACAGTGTTGGGAAAAGTGGGAAGATAACCTTATGCCGCATTCATTGGGGACTGCGCCCGACGGATAATGTCATCGGCGGCGGCTGTTCCGCTTCGGCCGGCCGGACGGGGACCCTCGCGCCGGTCCGATGTACGTGAAAGGTAGTGGTCTGTTAATGACAGCAGCCCCAGGCCTGCCATCCGAAAGGTGTAGAACCTTGCTCCTAATCAGACTCGACCGGACGGAAGACAGAAAATTGGGCAAACCTTCCTCTCTCACATCATAGCTGTTGCCGTTGAAACATCGAAGTAAAAAGTAATTTCAAGAGCACAGTGTTTGAACATCATCGCTGAGGCGGCAGGGTCATTTTTATTTTTATTTTTAAATCAATCACAAAACAGATGCCCAGCACAAAGATGCAGCTTCCACCCTTCCACCTCACAGACTGACGGATCAAGCATGGCGTGGCTGGCAGGGACTTGCTGAGGAGGAGGGTTTTGCGGGAGCGAGAGGTGGAAGAGCGCTGCGCAAGGTGGGAGAGAGAGAGAGAGAGAGAGAGAGAGAGAGAGAGAGAGAGAGAGAGAGAGAGAATGGCACTGAGGCAACCACTTGGCTTATCAAATGGTCATCTGATGCGGGAAGATGCAATGCCCTGTAGCCGTTCAATACGAGTGTATGGCTGTCTTGGTGGAGTTGGTGGGGGCTTTGTTGGATGGCCTCTCTGCTTTCTTTACTATGGTAAATAGGCTTTCTTACCCCTCTCTGCTTTCTTTACTATGGTAAATAGGCTTTCTTACCCCTCTCTGCTTTCTTTACTACGGTAAATAGGCTTTCTTACCCCTCTCTGCTTTCTTTACTATGGTAAATAGGCTTTCTTACCCCTCGCTGCTTTCTTTACTATGGTAAATAGGCTTTCTTACCCCTCTACTTGTTTAGTATTATGGGTCATTCCCCCTAATCAAACCCTCTTACGGTATTCTTGCCTAGTTCTACCTTTTTTGCTCGATAGTGTTCTAACCTGCATTCTTGTCAGTGTGTCACTGTGAAGAATGGACTGTCACCTTACTCACTGGAATTTCAATGGACTCATGCGGCCAGCCTCATATGCCCTAATGCTGCTATTCACATATCGTGGCCGTCTGGATTTTTTTCAGGAGAGTGTGCGCGAACGTAGACTGTTGGAATGAAAATCTGGCAAGTCCTTTTTTGAATGCGGTCTTTTCTGTCCCACATAAACACAGGACAATTGGTGGTTGCCAGACTAATGCTGACTCCCTTGGTCTTTTCGATTCTCGTTCTGTAGTACTCTTGCCTTGTACTAAGTTTATAGTATTCATAATTCAGTACCATGTTGTTCTGGCCGATGAGCGATGGGATCTTTTCCAATGCCTCTCAAACGTGTAGGCCATCGCGGAACTACCAGTTGTATGCATGCTTGTATGCATGCAAGAAATGTGTGTGTGTGTGTGTGTGATGCTGTGTGTGTGGGGGGGGGGGTCGTGCAGTATCTTTATGTAAGCGAGGGAGCAGGGGGGGTAAGATGCAAGGGGATTGAATTGTAGAAGTGGGCATCTCTCAGGGGAACCTCATATATTTCTACTGGATCTTTTCTGTTGTATTGAGTCAAAGCACATGCTCAGCTAGTAGTGTTGGCACTTGTCGAGACCTTCTGAGTTTGAGCCTTAAAGTTGTGAGGGAGTAATCGTGAGCATACTGGATGGGCAGAGAGATGGGCGGAGTGCTTAAACCGCCCGTACTTGCCCCAGCTATCTGCGGTGGGAAAAAAAATTAAAAAGTTGAGTACGAACGTTCTGGGCGCTCCTGTAGTGGCCCGTACATTTCCTAAAATTGTGGCGCGTTAACGGGCACGAGTTCAGGAAAGTACTGGTGGTTTAATGTAGTCATGTAATACAATATAGGCACCGCAGAGTGGTGTCCATTTTTTTTTTTTTTTGACAGTTTTTTCTTTTTTGCATGGAGGATTATCACTCTTATAATCTCATTACATTTTGCAGGGAATGATTCATATGACCGTTTCCTTTTTTATGGTTTGTGTTTCGCCGATGGCATTGAAATTTTTGTCTGCCCATCGCCTTCTGGTGGCCTGATTCAGGTTCGCGAACAACATGGCCTAGGGTCTTTCGGTGGGGAGGATGTACCATGGCTGCCTCTGCTGCTGCTTTCAGTGCGTGGGTGATGCTCATGGAGCCAGCTTGTGAGCCTCAGAACATCCAAGCATACGACTCTTAGCGAATTGCCAC